TGAGTCATAAAGATATCCATATTGTTTGATTAATTCTACCCCCACAATTTATCCCTAAGATATAATTCAAAACCAAAAATAGTGCATGTACAAAAATATTCAATATGGTTCTAAAGTTGTCTAAATATCCTGAAGGTTTAACAGATAATGTAATATCAGCAAAATGTAACAGGATATGCCCATTACAAATTCATATGTAAGGAATGGAGGGAGAAATTAAAAGATGCCCTATTAGACCTTGAACCTTAAAGGATTTTTCTTTTTACTCAAAAAAATCTATTGGAATTTCATTTCCTTTTTTATTGGACTAATTATACAACTTGTTTTAAACCTAAGTAATATTCACATATCAAAATCATAAATATATTTCCAAGAGTTATGATAAAAATATAGAAAATGGAAAAAATACTATAATTTTAAAACAATCTAATTGTATCCAACAATGTAAATGTCAGTAATAAAGCATATTAATGCTGTAATCTTTTATAACAAAGACTATTAGATACTATCTAAATTTGACGTGTCAGAAAATAGGTTTAAGTATATCACTTGGAATATTAGTGGTTATTAGAATTAACAATATTAATAATTATGTTTTGTCTGAGAACATTTAGAGATATTTCATCTATAAAATATTGTCTAGTTTTAAAATAGTTGTTAATATTATTTGATATTGAAAAGCTTGTTATACAATAGAAAAAAGAGCTAAGTACAAAATAACATGTAAGCACTATGATTGAAAATACATAAAGTTAGCATAGTTGCCAACATGTAATACATATAAATATACACAGACTATAGTTGTATGCATTTTATTAATACAACTTAGTTTTGAGTTCTTAGTTCCTAATTTATTTAAGTGCAAATTTTAAGTACATATTTAAAAAGCAACTGCAAACAAAACTAGACTTGAAGACTGCTACTTAGGATCCTACTACTAGTCACTGTTTTTTAGAAATATTTAATTTCTTTGGAATTAGTTCTCTTTCCTTGACTTTTGCTTTCTGGCTTTCTCTTTTTCTTGGTTACATCTCTCTTAATAATAAATGTCAGGAAAATAATTTGGTCTACCATAAGCTAAAATAGGAATTTGTTAAAAGACTACCTGAGTGACTCATGAAACCAAAGACAAGACTGAGGCTGGGGCCCAGGAACAACTATCATTAACAATTAAGATGATAGTAATCCTCATTTTCTCTACTCATCCCTGCTGTTCTTTGATATCCCCCCCCCCCTCTCTCTCTCTCTCTCTCTCTCTCTCTCTCTCTCTCTCTGACCAACTTTCATCCTCTTGTATCACCAAAAACTTGGCCCACGGTAGCTCTTAGACTTAACCACTTTTGATCCAAGCACCACAAGAAAGATGAACTTTTCTTTCTTCTTGTACCAACACTGCCAGAACAGGTCCCTAGCCCAGTTTGGGAATAGGGTCCATGCTCCCTCTCTGCAACCCATGCACTGTGACAGCACGATCATATCGCACTCCCAGCAGCTCTGGCCACAGCCATGTGGCTGAGGTGGAGGAAGGTGAAGTTCCCAGGAAAGTATGGTTGTGTGAAGGGAACAATGAGGAGTGCTGGTTAGAAAACATGGGTGCTGCTATCATCTAAAAGAGGAATGCTTTCATTTAGATATTCTTTGTGTTCTTGGCCCTCTTACTATCACTATTTATAGCTTTTAGCAACCTAATTGTCTCTTAAAACAACTCTTACAATCATATCTGCTTGAATATCTCAAAGCATTCTTACTTTTTAATATGCTCAGTATGTTCTATTTGCCTTCCCTCTCAATTCATCTTGCTTCTCCATCTCCCATCCACCCCTGTTTCCAATTAAACCTACTTCTGCAGTGTTCCCGATATTAGAGATGCTGCCACCATCCAGCCTTCCTTGCTCAGAACAGAGAGCGGGGAGTTATTCTTGACTTTTTCCTTTCTTTAACCTACCTGCATAATAAGTTACAAGTCCTTAAATCTAGTTATTTTGAGTCTGAAAAGAATAAAGGACTCTATTCCTTTTGCCTAAAGCATTTCTTCTGAACTGCATTATTCTAGAGTATTCTAAAGTCCCCTATACCTATGTATTCCTTGCCTCTATTTTCTTCTCCATATAGTCAGAATGATGCTGGCTAAATATAATGGGAAGATACAGTAGGTCCTTGGGTTACGTTGGAGATCCATTCTTGCAGCAACATAATGCAATTTTCACTGTAAGTGGGAACCCACCTACATAAGCACCTACGTCACTCACATGGAGCACATACACAGCAATAATGAAGTGAAACAGTAACAAAAATGTAAAAGAAAGATAACAATCCCTGACCTTTACTTCTGGTAAATAAATAATAAAATAGCATAAAGCACATATGTACATATGTTGAAATGACAGAACTTTTTTTTTATAAGTAAATGGGAGATGGCGACATAACTACGCAATGACATACATCGAGTTTGACGTAATCCGAGGCCTGCCTACTTAAAACATTTTCATGGTTTCCCAGTGAACTTAACATAAAACCAATGCTTATCAGAGTCTATAATAATCATATGCCAATATCCCTCTTGCTCACTAAATTCTAGTCACACTGTACTTTTTTTCAGTTCCTATTTAAAAAAAAAAACAACTTACCCCACACCCACCCTTGAGCTTTCTTCAATCTCTCTCTTTCAAACATTCCCCTGCCTACTGCCTGTCTGTGCCCTTGTCCTGTAGGTTTAACATTAAGGGCCATTTCCTTAGTTAGGCACACTGTGTCATCAGGTATAAAGGGCATCCTTCATGTTATGCTCTTTCCTAGGTGCTCATTGCTTCCCTTTATATCACCAACATTTGTAATTTTACACCTATTGGTTTCCTTATTGGAAGCCTGTGTCCCCTATGAACTCTAGGTAGTGAAACAGCAAGAACAACATTCTGTTCACCACTCCTTATGTAAGGAGAGCGTTGGTTTAGCCTTCTACACAGACCACTCTCCAGAGAGAGCCTGCGCCTTCGCCAGCTGCACAGCGAACTGAGTCGTGCCTTCCTTAGGAGCTGGCTCTAAAACGGCTCACAGTGAGCGATTAGCCAAACATTTTATAGAAATAGTTTCATTTGTAAATGTAAAATATATAAAATACAACACATTCAACAAACTAAAATGTTATTGTATTTCTAATTATACAGAGGAAAAAGTGAAATCAGTTTAATTTACATAATTAAATGTGCTATAATTACTGACAGATGGATGAATAAATTATAGATCCACATTAAATATTTGTTGGAATCAATTAAATCCAGCTTTAAATGTCTTTACCTAACAGTTGTTGAAAAGATCAATAAACAGGCATCCAGAACAACTAAGGAATTCTAGTCACCTATATCCCTTCAGCTTCTCTGTTTTATTAGGTTCTGCTCTTCAGAGAGATATATGGCATTTTATTTTATTTTTTACTTTTGCTTATGAGTGTGCTGAAGGAAATTTGAAGGGTAATGCATTTTATGGCATTCAGAATTTCTCGAGTTTGACAGTGAAGTTTGATCTGTGTGGAGAATTTGTCCCGTGAAGTTTGATTCATGACATTGTTGTTTTCTAGCCGATTGTCAACCTGTAATGCTGTGCTGACTTTGCAGGTCTGTAGTGATCTTTCTCTCGTCTCCCTTATACGTGTGTTTTCGTAATGCTGTCATCAGCATATTGCCCTTATGAATGACTGCCTTGATAAACTGTCATACAGCTCATTGTAAGAATTTTTATATACATTAAAATTAAATCACTACAATAAGAGAAAAAGCTCACAATCCCTTAAGGTGAAACTTTTCTTCAAAAAGGGAATATCCTTTTTAATCACAATGATAAAGTGGGCTGAGTATAACACTCTGACCTTCCTAAATAAAAATGTCAAACAATAAAAGCTCAGAGAATCTTTGCTATGCTTGCAAGGTGTCAATCTCCATATAGTAGACAGGTTTCTGTTTTTAGTAATTCTGATTTTTTTAGAGGAACTATTTTCAAGGTTGAATTTAAGGTTCAATGGATATTGTATTGGTCAAAAACTATACTTAAACTCAATTTTTTTCACATTGATTCAGTGTGTGTGTGTGTGTGTATTTTTGGGGCTTAAAAGGGGCAATAACCAAGTCCTTTTTCCCCCCTCCTAAATTCAGAATGAATTATAAAATAGAAAATTTGGAGAGATTAATTATAATATAATACACTATGAACCCGGATTGGAATGCAGCCATAAAAGTTTCCAATACCTTCTTTACTGAACTGAAGTGACCCACTAGGGTTGCTGACAGAGGGGAAAATTGCATCCTCTCCCACAGGGCAAGTCTGTATGCTTATGCCTGGGCAAGTTGAGATTTCAGGCTATGTACATGCCAGTAACAAGCAGTGTGTGTGTGTTTACCCCGAGGTCACTTACCAGTTTATAGAAGAAGAGGAGTGAGTGAGAGGTAGGGAAAGAAACCAAAAGTATACTTCTAGCAGAAGTCCCTCATAAAAATATGGGCCAGGGGAATGAAGGGTCCCCCAACTAATAGAAAGTGTGTTTTATAGATCAGGATATTGTTATTGGGGAATGTTTGGGACTTGACGTGTCAAAAAACTCTCTTGGGCCGTATTACCTATAGGAGACACTTCTCCATTCATTTTTCCCCCTAATTAACTTTATTGGCTAAATCATTTCATTAATTTTTCTCCCACAGTATAAAATTCAGGCAAAAGTGAGGATGGAGTTCATAGCTTTTTAATTTTTTATAAGCTTTTTATGAGAAAAACCCACCTAATTTATCCATGAAAATATTTCTCGCTTGATATTACTGCATCATATCAGACAGGTGTGTGATTTGTATCTACTCTGCAATGCCCTCACTTTTGTCTCTGCATTATTTCTTCTCCCTTTCTTTTGTTTTTCTTAAGGCATTTGTACAGCCTGGAATTACTAGAATAACCCCATAGTTCATATATAATTACTAGAGGCTCGCCAATAATGTGTTTTGTTTGTTTTTATTTTGCAGGATAAAGTAAAGCATTTACAGAAGGCTTTTGCTTCAAGAGTAGATAAATCCACACAGACTGAAGTTCTAGGCTATGATGTAAGTAGCTATATAAAACCATTTTTGTCTTCTTTATTGGTATTCGGACTTCCACAAGCTTATTTGCCTCTGCTGCTACTGTGCCCATGCATTGATTTAAAAGAATTTAGTGATGCACTATTCATCTTTTACTCTTAAATAATTCCCAAATACCCTCTAGAACTGAAAAAGATAATTACAGGCACTGACTAGCATACCAATATTTTATAATTATTTTTAAACCAACATCTCTAAGACAGTCCTTTGAATTAGTTAATTTGCAGACATGTAGATTGATACATAATAGGATACTAGGACAATTTATTTTTAAGGAATTACTAATTTATTTATTAACAGTGTAATAAAGTTTGCAGTCACTGAAGCTAAGCACATCATTTTTATAATCCAGAACATAAAAGGAAACACAACTTAGCAGAGAAATTTATAAAAAAATATTTTAGCTCTTGGGCTTTAGTGCAGGCTACAGAAAGTAACCTAATTGAAAGTTAGCATTTTTTCTTCATATGAAATACTTGTTGAACTGTCAAAATAAGATTGTAAAATGTGTTTGAATAGAAGATTGCTTTAAGTAACACTGGATGATTTTGGATAACTTTGATTCAAATACCTATTTTTTCCTTACGTGCAGCTATGAAATTTTCGTTTTGTCTAAGTTTATGACTTTAAACTTCATTTTGATGAAAAAACAGAGGATTTATCTTTATCTGTAGGTAACATTTGTGAGAACTCTCTCTTCTAGTTAAAAACATTTATTACAGAATTATTAGCACTTTATGACAAGTATAAATAAAGATAATTTTAAGTTGTTTTATGAAGGTATGTAATGATACAATGTATGTTTATTTGCATGTCCTCATTATATTAAACAACATAAATATGGATATTACTTTTGTGTTGCTTTGCAAAGTATATTAACACACTTAATATAAAGCTATTTGTCTATATTAGGAAATAAACCAAAGTTTTTAATTCCAGTGAAACTTGGTCTTCAATAGTTACATGCAGTATTTTTTAATTTAAAATAAAAACACTAGAAGCTATGCTTTTATTTTGAACTTTTCTTACATTTATTTTAATATGTTTTTGAGAAACCCAAATCTTCTAGATTTCAGTATTGTGACTATAATACTTCTTAAATACCAGTGTTATGTATTATTTCAATGATGTTAATGCTTCATATTTTAAGAAAAATTATTTTATTACGTTTAAAGAGGAATTTCCATACATATTTCAATATTAATCTTTTTGGAGGAGTTTTTTTTTCCTCTTTAAAAGTTTTAAATACACAGTATTTGCATATCTGTACCTAGGATATAAACCCAGTATGTATTTTTACAAATAATAGCCTATATATTTTTAAATCTTCAAGCCAGAGAGTTATCCAATAACTAATGAATCCAGAGTTCCCATAAAATCTTATCCCAATGTAACAAAAGCACACAACACAGGGACAAGTTAACTTATAACCCTGTTTCAAAGCCCTGAATTTTCAAATAAGTTAACTGAGTTTCGAAAAGTGAAGTCACTTGTTCACTACCACATGGTAGTGGTAAAATCTAGTCTTTTATGAAAAGTAATGTGTTCTTAAAAAAAGTGAAATACCTTTGAATTTGGACAAATAGTCCGTTTTACCCAATATAAGGAAATTGTATTTGGGAGATTGAATTTTAAGTGTCTAAATGCCTGAATAAAAATATAGGATGTAAGAGATCTGTAACACTTAGGACTGCTTGTGAGAAAGAGCTGCTAAAAGATGAATTGCATGGGGGAGAGGGGAGGTGGAGTGCTAACTAAGCTGAAGCTACTAGCAGCAGCTTATGTATTTGCCCATCTTTGCCTCATAATTTTGTTGTTTCCACATATATTTTCTTTATATCAGAGCTATTTAGTTCTCTAACCATGTAAATAAAATTAAAGTCACGGACATAGTTAATCCTTATTATTAAGTCCTCATTGTCAAAACCTCATTGTTCCTATCTTTTTTCATATCTGACAGTGAGAACTTAATGTATTTGACTGGATTGGGTTATTTAAAGAATAATGATTTCTTGGTAGTGAGTCCCTAAAGGATTCCCGTGTACAAGCGTCTGTTATTATTTTGGTAGTTGTTAACATAGACTAATAATCTTTTTTAAAGACTTCATGTAAACAATTCTTGATAACATATTCTAGGATATAATCATCAGAATTAGAAAATTAATTACCAAACATATTAATATAGATCTCGATGCCAGTAACGAGAGGTAACTGTTGTAATGAACTTCAGAGCATTCTGCCTGGGGAGGAAGAATTTTAAATAAATTAGAAATAAGTAAAGCATTTTAAAAGTGTTTCTTGTGTGACTATTTGGAATATATGATTCATCAGTAGTGTAATTTTTCCACAACTAGGACATATCTTCTATACTTTTCAATATTTGTTTATAAATAATTTTCACATTTTATATTCAATAAGAATAATTAATCTTTTAATTTATAATATTTTGTTTGCATTTTTTCTCAAGAAATGTAGTTTGACATAATTTTTCACAAATATATATAATAGAGGCCCAGTGCATGGATTCATGCACCGGTGGGGTCCCTCGGTCTGGCCTACGGGGATTGGGCCAAAACTGGCTCTCTGACATCCCCTAAGGGTTCCCAGATTTCGAGGGGACAGTTCTTGGGTGATGAACCCCGGAATCGGGCTCCCTCCTCTCTGGTTCTGGGTGCGTCACCCAAGAACCACAGCTGACAAATCACCACAGCTTGCTAGCGCCTGCGTTGAGCGTCTGCCTCCTGGTGGACAGTGCACATCATAGCTACCTGTCGGCCAGTCAAAAGGTCGCTTAGGCTTTTATATATATAGATACCCACATAGAATATACTTCTTTATAATTTGCTATACTATTTGTTAGAAAAAATAATGAAAAATCTTGTAAATATCTTGCATGTTATTGATGATTCTTATACTCCCTTCTTCCTTCCTAAAGCTGCCAAACACTAGCCACAAATTTTTCTTTATGGATCATTATAAATCATGTTTTAGTGATAAGATTGTCAGACTATAAGAGATTACAAGTATGCATTAATATAATTCCCTTGGGAAGATAGCTGTTGTTACACATTTTGCTTAAGATAGGAAATAGAATCCCCATTAGACCTTAATTATAGTGAAAACTATTAAAAGAAATTTCTAAAAATTCACTACAGTGAATAAGTTTAAAGATTTGTACAATAAACTACTCTATCCTGTACCAGATTCATCAGGAGATTTAAAACTAATGTTAGTGTACAATGTGCTATAATTTGAAATGCACATGGCACAAATTATTGAAAAGTAAATCCAGAGTGCCTCAGCAAAGCCTGTAAACACAGTAGTTCTTGTGATGAAGGAGATTGTTAAATAAATGATGAATGTGTCTTAAATAATCAATGCCAATTTAACCTCTTTCACCTTCCTCTGTCTGCACAGGCTTAGTTTATTGAAAGATCAAAGAATAATTTCTTAGGTGTCACTTGTGTTATTAAAACAGGGTAGAAGATGAATAGATGTAGTCAAGTTAGCAATGCTGCCGATGATAAGATTACATTAAGAGGTGGGGAAGATTCTTCTGATTGTATCAACTAAATAAATAGATGCTTCAACATAGCATATAAGCTGTCTGTAAACATAGTTTGAACTACTGCAAATAACATTTTGGTTAAAATAACTGAGAATGAATATCCACAATCCTCAGTGAAGATTTTATATTCTGACACTGAGAAAATACAGGTACTTTTATTAACTTGACATATTTGTGGGTAGCTTTGTTTTCTCAACTTTCTTTTGATGTTCTAAGAAGATTGCCTTTTTAAATGTGGCTAATTGACTAAGTGCACATGTTCTTTTCAATTAGTGCCTGAACGTGGAACAGTCACAGGGTTTCTAAGCTGCTCTTTTAGGCAAAAGTACTAACATTTTAAAAGGGTTCTTCTTTTCATTCATGAATGTTTTGCTCTTATATTTAATAAGTGTTTTTAGTAGTTTTGAACTTTCAATTATTTATATTTTCTTTGAGTTTTGAAGTTATTGGATATATCATCAAATGTAATTTATCACTGCTGTCTAAATACCATTAGTGGTTTTAATTTGCTTATTTAAAATGGACTGAATTGTGACATCACACATATTTTGTCTCAGCCATATATGAATGAAGCATACATCAATTTGGAAATGTGTTCTCAAAACACTGTGTTTTTCAAATATTTTAGCACATTTTCCAAAAAGTGAGATTTGCTTTATAAGTGTAGTTTTCTGCCTATATGCTAGGGAAAAAAATTATGAATACACATTTTGAAAAACTGCTCAATGCTTTCTATGTAGTCTCAATCTATACTATTTTCTTAGATTTAATTTTGGAGAGCTCCTGGCACAGTTAGTAGTGTGCAGGGAGTTCTAGCTAATATGAAAATAGTTTATCATGTAAGTAATAAAATTATTATTTTTTACTGTAATTGTTTTATTAGCTATTGGACAACGCTATTTTTGTTATGCTAATGTATTTTGTCAGCCTTATGGCTTAAGCCTAATTCTGAGAATTGAATAACTCTCAATTAAGCTCTCATCTTCCTGCTAATAAACTATAGTTTCTACCTGGGATCCATTTGTTCCTACCATCTCCTTTAATTTAATTCGTCTAATCAGGCATCAACATGCCCAGCATTTAGTAGATGAGTGTGGCCCCCACATGCTTTATTTATATTTATTTATCTCACATGTTCCTCTTTATTTTTATAAATTAAAAAATCAGGCTTACAAACCGAAAGATATATTTCAAGTTTTCTTTTGGACTACAGGTTTTAATATTACAGTAAGGACAAGTTCAGACAAGAACATTGATTAGAAACAATTACAGGAAACATGATCACTTGCTGCAGGTGCTTATTAACATTCAGTGGAGAAGCTCCCCCAGTGTTGACGTTCTAAGGGCCTCATTGTTAAAATCTCTACATGCATTCATTCAACAAATATTACTAACT